GGCCTACATTGGTGCTAAGACACAACAGACACATAGTATTAATGAAGTATCTTTTCATTAGGTTTAACGTCTGGTCTCCACTCAAGTATGTGGTTCAACGGATTTGCTACACCTATATACGAAAAGAAAAGTCTTCATTTTACAACCGGTCTCTGGGGTTTTGGCTTACTTTGGTGATATTTATAAACTACAGTTAATATCATTTCTACGCAAAATAAAATTTCTCAATTTTAGTTAATAGTTTAGTGTAGACCAATACATTTAAGGCTACAAGCCATTGCCCTCGAAGACACAATTAAAACCGGCACGAATACATATGCTCCTATAAAATAAGAAGCTACATATTTATTTTCGAAACAATTTGTTTGTAAAATTGGGAATTAAAGCACAGTTCGACTCCGAAGGATCAAGGGTTACGTGAAATAAATAGATATTATGGTTATCTTTGGGTGTGAGCAAAGTGTTGGTTTGATGTAGCAGTGGTTTCTTGACCGGTTGAACGGTATCTTTCAAGTAAATATGCATATAGCCGTAGGTAATCGTACACCGATCCGTTTCAGGACGCACCAGTCCTGGTTGATGCCTTTGCAAGTTTAGACACGTCCAAGCGTATTTCACAAGGCCATTAATTGTAATGTTACCTACTAAGTTTCAGTAACATTTATTTTATGTTTAGGTATTACCAACAAAGACAGTGGGATGCTAGGATAGCTATTTCGAAACTCAAAAATGGCAACAATTTCAGCGGCAACACTGGAAATGGGTATCGCTAGCTGACGACGGCTAATAAGCCAGAAGTAGCTATCCTGGCGTCCCACTGTCTTTATCGGTAACAACTTAACACCTAGTTTAGGTTTAAATGCTACTGTCATGTCCGCCATTATTACGTTCTCAGGGAAGTCTGTTCCAGGCGCCGAAAACTCGCTGCGAAAATGGATGTCTACGAACATCTAGGTGAAATAAGGCTCCTCGAAGTTTGAGGGAGTTCCCACCTCGGGTTTGCTGTAGTTGTCAATCCAAATAAATCCCTTAACGAGATACGCCACCTATTACTATCGTTTTTCAACCCGCACAGAGCCTCCGATAATATCACATGAAGGTACCGTAGTCGCCGGTTATTAAGCCCACGGTTAATAGGCCCAGCCGCGTTAATACGCGGGACGGAATCTTACATAGCAAAATCCGCCGGCTAATAAGCCCAGTTTGCCAACAGGATAGAG